GCCAGGATGGGCGCCGCACCCCCGGCCCGAGAGCTGCCGCGGCCAGTGGGCGGAGACAGAGCTGGAGGAGGAGCCGCCCGGGAGGCTGTGCCATCTCACAGGAGGAAGTGGAGGAGGGGAGTCGGCCTCCGACTGGGGCGAGCCGAGTGCACTTCCGTGCGCGCTGTCGCCTCGTCTCTCGAGAACCGGGCTCCTGTGCCGGGGCCTCAGACCCTCAGAGCTCCAGCGGCAGTGCTCCTGGACCAGGGCCTCGGGCCCAGCACCGGGAGGATGGTCTGGAGTGGGTGAGGGGGGCGGTTGGAAGTGGTCAAGCATCCCAACCCGCCCGCGTCCACCCGAGCGCCAAGAGCAGCCGGATTGCGCCGGGAACTCCTGTGCGACTCATATTTAAAAATAAGGAAAGTTTTATCCGTTTCTTGTGTTTCTGCTACTTAAAAGCCTGGCAGGCTCTCACAAACGAAACTCTGTAATTAACGTTTTCCTCCCCGCTCTAACCCACACACAAACACTGAACTTAATTATAAACTCCCAGATTCCTAGCACAGCGTCTTCCAGGCGAGTTGTATTCAAACTGAACTTCAGCGGTCCACGAAAGGATGGGCTAAGAATTGGCGGTAATCGTTTTAAATAACGTCAGACTAGTCGAAACCTTATTCCTAGTTTGTTGCCTGAAGTCCTGTGATTTCGAATAACTAACTCGTGGCTTTACGACACTTGAGTAAAAATATTCTTTTAGAGTTAGAAGAAGGAATATGCACCTTGAGGCCCCTTGGGGCTTGCTTGCTGTGGTGTGTTCCACCCCGTCCAGGCCCCTGACAGCAGGACTGAGAAAGGAACCTTGACCTTTTCCTTTATATTCGCATGTACTAGCACCTGGCCAGGCATATAGTAAGCAATCAATAAAATGGTGACTGGGTGAATGAATGGAGATGAAAACTTTGCCCAGAGGAAGTGGTTTCCCCATATTGTTTATGACATGCGAAAGAATTTGGTGAACAGGACTGAGTATAAATGCATTGTGTGGATCCTAAAAACTTACTAGAACAGTAGTTTTGAACGTAACTATTCCAACATAACTATTAAAACTCAATTACAATGCATACTAATCTAATAGCTTTTAATCCTGTGAAGGGATGTGTATATAAATTGAAATGTCTAATCTGAATATATAGTACTTAATTGCATTATATATTTTGACTTTCAAATGTGATGAAAATATATGCAGCAAAACATTAGGCATGTTTTTACAAGCTATGGTCCAGCACTTGCCTAAAAGAAATTACTGTATGGGACATACAATTCTACACAAATACTGAAACATAAATACAAATGTACCTTTCTCCTCATCATGTTCTCTGGCACAGGAAGAGGCCATGGGTATGTACACATATACCCAAAGGGTCATTTGTGCTTTAAAAGACCTTAAAAGCCTGAGAACCAATTAATTCCCTTGGAAATCCATCCAGATAGGGAGGGCAGAAGAGTGCCCTCTTCTAGACTCTGGCTGGGCCCAGTCAGCCCTCTCACTCCTCAATTTCTGATCCAGGACAGAGCTCCCACAGACTCGAAGAGTGGAGGGAAGAAGCGAGAAAACCAGGAAAAGGAAGAAGGCAAGGCACTGACAACACTCATGGGCCCACTGAAATGTGAGTGAATGGGGACCAAAAGAAGTATTCAGATGGTGAAATGTTATCGTGTTGCTGCAAATGGCATTATTCATTCTTTTTTATCAAGGAGGGGAAATGTTTCGCATCTTTATCTACAGGCAATATATTTATATTTTCATAACAGTAAGAAATCAATCATTTGTGGCATTTAGAACACTTTCTCCATATACCAGGAAAAGTTAGTTGCAAACGTAAGAAGTTTCAGATAAATGTTGGGGAAAATGTGGAAATATCTTCGTTCCCTTGTTCAAAGAACTAAGCAGAGATAACTAAACTTTTGAAGTTTCAAAAACAAAAATGCAAGTCTTTTTCCTCAGAACTTTTTTTTTTAGTGGATTTAACTTAAATGGACTTTTGCTTAATAGGAATATTTACTTTCCAGGAAGCTTCTTTTGATTTTTCCCCCCGGGACTAAATATGTTGGTAAGCCAAATAAAATATGTACTGTCTTTTATCTCTAGCTTGATTGACAGATAACATTTTACCATCTGAATATTTCTTTTCTCTCCAACATGCATTTAGTGTACTCATCTCACTTATATAATCTGGTTTTAAAATTTTCATCTTTTCTCTTTAATACCATGGGACTTAAAGGTCAAATTGAAAAGACCATATTGATTACTTTTGCACAAAAATCCTAAGAATGTCCATGTATGAATGCCAAGATTAAAAATTAATAGTGACATCACCACATAACCTCAAGTATGAAGAGAAAGTTAGTGAGTGGATTAAGAAACTATACATAAAACATATTGTTTCTGTTAGACTCAAACTTACATTTTAACTATCCAGCCATATTTCCTCCTGGAGATGTGTATTTACTGAGCATCTTTTTTTTTTTCTATTCTATTGCCTTCAGAGTCCTTTTCAAACAATCTTCTAGGGTTTGAATAACACATGATGGAAGATACCCTAGAAAACTGAGATTCAAAGCACCAAAATTGAAATCACAACACAAAGTAATTTTCATACCTGTTAACAGAAGAACAGGCTCTCGTTCTGTGCCTGAAAAGAGTGGAGCACCTTGGGCAGGAAGCTTCGGTAAAGTAAGACCTGTGCCAGTCTCCTCCAGTCTTATAAATATGCCACACTCCTCACTTCCTCTGGGCCTCTGTTCCTAAGGTTCTTTTTTCCTCAACCTGGAATAGCATTCTTTCATCTGCTCTCCCATCCCAACTCCACCCAAACTTCAGTGTTCAGCTCAAGACTCATCTTCTCCAGGGAGCTTTCCATGGGAGCATAGTCTCCTTTTTCTTTAAAATGGCTTGTATTTTCAAGTCTAATCAACTCATAGCTTAGCATTTAATTATTCTGGTGTTAACTTCCTGGTGGTGTTAACAGTATTTGAATAGAAGTCTATTTAATATTAATTCTTGATGTTTTCAAGCATCTTCGATTTTTTCCAAGTGAAATTATCAGTTTCTTAAAACTAGCTGTTTTCTTAATTTATATCATCTTCCATAACATTGAATGCAGTGCTGAATTCATACATCAAAAAAATCACAAAGAACTTTGTTGATTAATTTTGTGTGTAAATTCTGTCGACTGAAAAAAATGCACAACCTGAAAGTTGAGAATTATGTCCTTTTTGGCAGACTTGCTGAGGACTTCAAGACCAGGAGACAGAATGTTCGGAGGGACTGCCCCAAAGAGGTAAGGGAAGAGCCAGGATATATAGGAGTTTTTGCAACAACAATCAGGTAGTGAAATATCAAAAGATTAATGAAAGAAAACTAGACATCTCCAGTTAATGAATTTCGTACTTTCCTAAGTATGAGAAGATACAAGAGTCTGGGCTCATTGAAACCATTCCTTTGATGTGCACCTTAGCTATCTAGTATCCTGTTCTTTTCCATCCTGAGTTTCCTCAGGGCTCACAGGGGTGGGTGGCTGTAGTGGCTGATGGCTGCAACATCCTTTGTTTACTGACATGGTAGGCAACATTTTTCATCCACAATTCCATGGGAGAAGAGACATGTTGGTCTTTCGCCCCCAGCTTTATTGAGGTATAGTTGACAAATAAAATTGCAATGACCATGTTAATCTTATCCATCATTAAATGCACAATGCTCAGCACAGTTCTTATTGAATAGCAAGAAACCAAGAAGTATTTGTTGAAGGATGAATGAATGTATGAATAAAGAAAGGAATTGTGATCTTAGACTGAACACATGAATGGAATAACATAATAAATATTCTTGCGTAAGTGAATAAATGGATATGTACTTTTCAATAAGTAGAAAAGCTCAAGAATTTTTTTATAATTAGCAAAGAAAAAGGATTAAACTACTAACTTTATCTAGAATGGTGTTTCTAAGCTTTTGTAGCTGTTTTTTATTCCTTGTTGCAATTTGGGATTAGGGTTTGGGGTTTATGAAGGAAATAAAAATTAATTATGAATAGCAAGAAACGTCCTGTGCACTCCTGGAATTCTCTGCATCTCATTGTGAAAAACCACTTTACTTTCACAATAGGCATTCTTTATTTCAAGGACACGCCTGGCAGGTTTCAGAATTTCCCTTCAAGTGATCAACATGTTATAAAAATATAAAAGGAAAATCATGTGTATTATTCCATTTAAACTAATTAAATATTAAAGAATCTTCTTAATTATAACTACTTAAAGGGATTTAATTTGTTTTAAAGCCTTAAAGTGTTGATGTGTACTCTGATGTGTGCTAGAGATAGATCGCATTTATCAGTACAGCATATATAATACAAAAAAAAAATCCATGTTTGAAAGAGGGTAATATTGTCTAAGTGACTCTTCTATTGCTGGAAAGGTGAATTAGAAGCTTAGATATAGAAAGCAAAGTGTTTGTTTGCAGTATGTTCAGAATTAGAAAACATATTTTTTTAAATAATACATTAAAAACATAGAATTTTTTTAAATCAATTTTTTTGAAATGTCATGAGCCATAAAAGAAATCACGTGGTATAATTTAAAATGTTTTTGGCACTTGATAGATTATTGCTAATGCTTTCCGCCTACTAATCATTTAGTATAAATGTAGCCCTACTGATACCAGAGATTATAAACCAAAACCTCTAATCCTTTTTTTCCCTCAGAGTTATGATAAATGCAAATACTGATAATCAGAAGATCTTTAAAAAGTAAAGTCTACAAAATTACTCATATATTTATTTTTCCTTGAAAATGTGTCATTAATGATAAAACACAGCATTCATATAATACATATGTATGTATATAGGTCCTGAAATTCTTTTCCTTAGATACATGCTTTCATCTTACTATTGTTTAGTGATATGTCATCTAAATGACTGTTAAAATATTTTCATATTAAGTAAGAGTTATCTCATGTCCCAAAAAGACATAGCTAGATATATGTCTACAAAACACTATTTTGCAGGAGATATTTTAATATCAAAAACATAAGAAGGTAACATATGTATATATATGTATGATTGAAACATTATGCTGTACACCAGAAATGGATGCATTGTAACTGACTATACGTCAGTAAAAAAAAAAACAAGGTGACCCTATAACAGCATTATATATTAGTAAATATTGTTAAAGTGACATAACTTAGTACACACTATATTAGTATGCACTTTTCCATGCTCTATTATATAAAGAGCTATGAAAATCTGATTTTAGCACAAATAAAACAAATTTATTCACATGACTACTCCATTTTCTTTCCACTTACAGAAACACTTCACTTAACTAACTTATTAAGGAATATGTTAACCATTAATGTACTCATCAAACATTTATTATTAAGTGCCGCCTATATACCCTACAATGCAACTGGAGCTTGAATTACCAAAGCAAATCAAACATGAACCCTGCCAGAAACCTACAGTTTAATTAGGCAAATACTTAAGTAAATAAAATTAGCTAACATTTATTAAGGGACATATTTCAGTACATGCCAAGTGCTCCATTAAAATGCTTTATATGGATTACATATCTTCAGAATAATACAATTACTGCACATGGGTAATTTTGTCCCATTTTACAGAAGAAAACACTAAGTGTGGCAATGTTAAACTAGGTTCTCTTTGAGAGTTGGAGTCCATTTCCCCACCTCTTGAGTGTGGGCTGGATCTTTTGAATTGCTTTCAAAATAAGTGACCATGCAACTTTGTTGATTAGGTCATAAAAGGCTTCCATAAAAGGCTTTCATAAAAGGCTCTCCCAGATGGAAAGCCAGATGCCTGGTGGTGGGAACTTACAAGCTGCCCTAGGGAGAAGCCCACATGGTGAGAACCTGAGGCCATGTAAGTGAGTCATCTTCAAAGTGGCTCCTTCTCCCCAGTCAGACCTTCAGATGCTAGCAGCCCCTGATAACATCTAACCTCAAAAGAGACTCTGAGCCAGAAACTATCCATCTAAGCTGCACTTTAATTACTAACCCACAGAAACTGTGAGATAATAAATTTTTGTTGCTTTGAGCCAATACATTTTGGGGATAATTTGTTATTCAGCAGCAGATAACTAATTCAATGAGTTTAGAGAAGTTATGTAATTTGTGAAGGTCACAGAGCTAGGATGTGTTAGCGATGTTTTCACCAGTCACTTACGGCTAAAGTAACCATCTAATTTGTTGTCCAACTGGAAGACTTTACAGAGTAATAATGATGGTGACAATAATTATATTGGTACAACAGCTATGCACCGGAACTATCTAGGATGAACTGGGACATAGGATCACTCTAATTACAGCCTATGCTCTTTACTGCAACACAATTCTGTCTCCTATATAAATAAGGAGATACAGTGTGACCAATGCAACAATGAAAGTATAACACAGGGAAGGGATGATCCACCTGCTCTGACAGAGACTGCTAGCTACCTCCCCAATATTCATTATCCCCTTTGGTAATACTCCTCTATTGTGTGGTAGCAATCATGTGTCTAGCTGGAAAAGACAAAAACAAAAACAAAAAATCCTGCATTTCCCAGCTCCATTATAGATGACCAGAAGATGTCAGTAGAAGTTGTCAGGTGGAGCTACCTCATAGACAGGGGCTAGCTTAACTATCAGGAGTCCTTTTTCCTCTGCAATTTATTTACAGCTGATGCCTGGGATATGGATGTGATGGTTGGAGCTGCAGCAGTCTAACTGCAAATATGAGGAGTTATACTTGGTAATGAAGATGATGATCTAAGAATTACAGAGTAGAAAGTCTGGGTTTCTGATAACCATGGACCCATCATTCCATCTTCCTATCTTGGAAAGTAAACCTATTATGAGAGAGAAAAAATATGCCTCTATCTTTGTTTAAGTAGATATTACAACGATTTTCAGTCATACCTTGACTAACCTAATCCTAACCTTAATTCCTCAAAGAGCAAATTTAAATTTTGAGTACCAAACATTTGTATTCTTACCCTACTTTGATAGAAATTGTTCTACATATATTGATCACTCTTCCTACTTTTCTAAGTAGCTAAAACAGAAGCACTGAAATTTTCTGGATGATACAAGGTTATTATTATTTACAGAAAGTAGAGTCAGTTTACTTCTTAGTGCCTAATAGAGTTTTATATGCCCTATGGAAGCTTGTTCAGTTGTTGGTATTAATGAAACAAGCATGAATTAAGTTCTCGTGAGCAGTACTCTTTCAGATGGGCTGATGCCTTCACCTATTTTATTCACTTAAATGAGTCATTTGAGGGGTTTTCTAAACTCTCCACTCTTACTTCCTCCAAAAACTTGAAGACTAATTAAAGATTTCCACCTTTCAGTCCTTGTGGAAATGTGCCAGGGGATTTTCATGAAATGTTAGATGTTAGGATTTAACAGGAAATTATTACATTCAGAAAAGGAGTCAGATATAGAGCTTTTAATCACATAATTGCATTAGGTTTAACTCATAGAAATATAAAAGAATTAAATAAAAGGTTTGGTACATGTCCAGCAGTTTTGTAAGGCATAAAGGCATTTCTATAATTAGTTTCTTTTTCTTCTGAGTTTTGAAAAAATAAATTACTATTATGGAGATAATGCTACGCTTTAGGGATAAATGAGAGTCTAAAAAACTGAGTTAACTTTTTTATTCTAACTATTTCAGGTTAGTTATTCTATTTCACTTCAAAATATCTTTATCATTAACAAAAAGTTTTGAACAGTTATTGTAATAAAATGCTCCCAACAAAGAATAAATGTTTTCATACATGCAAAATATCTAGGATAAATATATGGAAGAAAAATTCAAGGACAACCTAACAATTACATTGGACCCAAAACACAATAGTGAATGACATTCATTAAAAAGAATTTAAGCTAAGGCTGGGTGATCATTTGATAGAGACACAACAGAACCTTCTGCAATGATGGAAATATTCTGTGTCTATACTGTCCAAATACTTACATTAGCCACTTGTAACTACTGAACACTTGAAATGTGGCTAGTATGACTGAGAAGTTAAATTTCAAATTTTATTTCATTTAAATAGCCACATGTAGCTAGTGGCTCCCAAACTGGACAGTATAGTTAATAGATGGTATCCACAGAGGTGAAATAATTGAATTTGATGAATTCTAAAGTCCCTTCCAACTTTCTAGCACCATAGCAGGAAAAACGAGTGGTTAAATTTTATTTCTTATCCATTTTTCTTCTCCATCCTGCACCAAATTTTCTGTTTCTAATATCTGCAATTAACTAAGGCATTACTTTAG